ATAATTAATGCTGAAGATAGCGTAACAAACCATTTTAAAGTATATATAATAAACAAATAATATATTAAAAATAATAAATATAAAACATTAAACATTAATAAATAAATAAATAAATTAATTAATTAATTAAATGTTTTCATCCTATATCAGAAACAAAAAATATAATGTTTCATATCATTTATGTATGACCTTCTTCGGTATATCTGCTAATTCAAGAGAAAATATTATAATAATAATAATAATATCTTTGCTCAATATTCTCATTCTAACTTCCCTCAATCTATTAACTCAACAGTAAACTTAAATAATATAGCTTATATAACTGTTAATGATATATCATCAATTGAAATCATTTTTGTGAATTAAAAAGGCCGCTGAAATCACTTGATTTAAACAAATCAGCTGGTACTGACGGGCTTCCGGCTATTTTATTAACTAGGTTTGCCAAAACTATATCCAAACCTTTATCAATTATTTTCCCCATTCCACATTTATAACACAACTAATTCACATTAATAAACCCCATATATACACATTTATAACTCCTACACATAAAAAGGCCCCAAAAATCAAATTGAAAACTATCTTCGTATCTCAAAATTAAGTCTAATCACCTAAGTATTTGAAAGAATTCTATATAGTCAATTATATCCTGCAATCAAACAAACCTTTATACCACAACAGCATAGTTTTCTTCAGAAAAGATCAACTAACTACATCTTTCGTTTTACTTTTCACGGATTTTATTACTCACAACATGGATAAAGGAAATCAAATCGATGCTGTTTTCACGGAGTACAGCAAAAAATTCAATCGCATCGACCATTCTATACTGTTGCAAAAATTGTATTTTGCTGGTGTCAGGGGCGATCTATTTAAATGGTTTATATCTTATACTTCAAACAGACCACAAGCGGTAATTTTAAACGGATTTACATCTTGCTGAATGGGTGTCCCTTCTGGCATGCCTCAAGGTTCATTACTTGGCCCCCTGCTCTTTGGCATATTTATCAACGATATTGCTGAATGCTTTAAGAACTCTGAGGTTTTACTCTTCGCAGATTACATGAAAGATTTTAGATTAGTGAACAACTCTTCTCATGTTAATCTCCTACAAAACGATGTTGTTAATTTAGATAATTATTGTATCCGTAACAAATTCGATTCGAATGTTTCAAAGTGTAATTCTATATATTTCAGTCGGAAGCGTGATATACTACTACATTTATTAGATATGATAAAATAAGGGACCTCGGCATTACTATCGATACTAAACTTTAATTTGAACAGCATGTTGAAGATATCATTAATAAAGCATACAAAGCTCTAGGTTTTATTATTAGGTCTTGTAACAAATTCAGTTGAAATCAATGAACATATTGTTTTGTTCTCTGGTTAGTAGCCATCTCGAATATAAGTGTAAAGTATGGAATCCTCAATATAAAACATACGTTAATAAAATCGAAGTGATTGAAAAAAAAACATTCGATATTTATGCCCGAAATTTGGGATACCTAAATAAGGCTATGAATTGCAGTATTCTCGTTTTCATCGCCTTTCGCTGCAAACTAGCTGCTTTACAACTGACCTGGTCTTACAAAGTAATACTGCTCAGCATCGTTTAGCCTGCCCTGACTTATTAAAAAGATTACATATTTCAGTACCCCCTCGTTCTCTACGTTATAACAATTCCTTATGGTCAGTTCATACAGAGATGCGACGATGCCTGAAGAAGCCAGTGTGTTCGCACCGCGCAGCTCACTACCGCGAGACGCATCATGACATCTTGAGACGCATCGTGACGTCACTGGTCTTGCACACCGCTCTTGCACGCTCGCTTATCGACAAAGTACTACTGCGTCGTGATGTGTCACGCTACGCTGCGAAGCATCTCGAGACACAGCGCAGCGTAGTGCGATGCCGCAAGACATTTTCGAATTATCTCAATAAAATGTGTATTTTTTTGTATAGTAAATAAAATTATATTTCGTATCACGTCACGTCTCGATGATAACTGATCCTTACATGTATCTTTATGTAGATCAAATTACAGGTGAAACTCATTATTTTTTTTTATAGGAGAGGGGGCAAACGAGCATGCGGCTCACCTAATGGTAAGTGACTACCGCCGCCCATGAACAACCGCAACACCAGGGGAATTGCAGATGCGTTGCCGGCCTTTTAAAAAGGAGTAGGCTCTTTTCTTGAAGGTCCCTAAGTCGTATCGGTCCGGAAAAATCGCTGGTGGTAAACTATTCCACAAGGAAGTTGTGCGAGGAAGAAAACATCTTCCAAATCGCACAGTGGTGGACCGCCAATCATCCAGATGGTATGGATGGTATCGGGAGTTCTGCCGCGATGTGCGTTCGTGAAATTTGGCGGCTGGGATTAATCCGAACAATTCCTCAGAGCACGCCCCGTGGTAGATGCGAAAGAAAATGCAAAGGGATGCAACATCTCTTCGCAGTGCCAATGAATCGAGCCGATCGGAAAGAACTCGGTCATCGAAGATTCGAGCCGCTCTGCGCTGGATGCGGTCAAGTGGAAGAAGCTGGCACTGGGGAGCCCCAGCCCAGAGATGGGAACAGTATTCCATGTGAGGCCGAACCTGCGCCTTGTAAAGTTGCAGGCGTTGAGCCGGCATGAAATACTGTCCCGCTCTACTGAGCACGCCAAGCTTTTTAAAGGCCAATTTGGCCTTCTCTTCCAAGTGACCACGAAACTGCACGCTACTCGATATGTCGACGCCGAGGATTCCGATACTGGCTGAGGCAACAAGGGGAGTACCTTGAAACTGAGGAGATACGACAAAGGGGTTCTTTTTAGCGGTAAACGCGCAAACTTGTGTCTTCTGAGGATTAAACTGGACTAGATTTAGTCGCCCCCAATCCGAGACTTTGTCCAGCAAAGACTCGACTTCAGACACAAGTTTGTTCCGGTACTCAGTGACGTTTTCCCGAGAAATATTGGCACGGCCGGTGTATAGAGCATCACCAGTGCTGTCATCCGCATAGCAATGAATGCTACCGGCTTGCAACATATCATTGATATGCAGAAGAAACAGCGTTGGTGATAGCACGCAGCCTTGTGGAACACCAGCGTTAATAGGCTTGTAGTCGGAGCATGCACCGTCTACAACGACCTTGATGCTCCGATCTGCAAGAAAGCTGGTGATCCAATTGCATAATTTCTCGGGAAGCCCATAGGAAGGGAGCTTCGAAAGAAGCGCTTTGTGCCAAACCCGATCGAAGGCCTTCGCAATGTCCAGACTAACGGCCAACGCCTCCCCCTTGGACTCTACTGCCTCCGCCCATCTATGGGTCAGGTAGACCAGAAGATCACCAGCTGATCGACCCCGACGAAAACCGTATTGGCGGTCACTAATCAGCTGGTGATCCTCAAGGTACCGAATGAGCTGGCAGTTAATAATGGATTCCATTATTTTGGAGAACACGGGGGTGAAGGCGATAGGCCTGTAGTTGGACGGGTCTGAGCGGTCGCCTTTTTTAGGGATCGGGTGGACAAAAGCTGTCTTCCATGATTTCGGGACTACGCCTAGGGAGTAGGAGTACCGGAAAAGACGCGTTAGAACCGGTGTCAACTCCGGAGCACACGTCCTCAGCACAATTGGGGGGATTCCGTCAGGCCCACTCGACTTGTGGATGTCAAGGGAGAGGAGTGCTCTGCGAACCGAGCGCTGTGAGAACCGCACATCCGGCATGGAGCACTCACACCGCGGGATGGTCGGCGGTGTGTTCCCCCCATCATCAACAGTCGAGTTGGACGCAAAAAGGGAGCCTAAAAGGTCGGCCTTCTCTTTTGCGTCGTGGGCCAGTGAGTCGTCCTCCCTGTGCAGAGATGGTAGTGATGGCTTACAGAAATTCCCTTGGACAGCCTTGGCGAGAGACCAGAATGCACGGGTTCCCGAAGGAAGGCGAACTAGTTTCTCGCCAATTCTGCCTATGTGCTCTGACTTTGCCTTGGCAATAACTCTTTGGAAGGACCTGGAGGCGAAGTTATACTTCTTTTTGAGTGTGCTGGTGTTTACATCCCGAGTCACCGAAGCCGCAGCCCAGGCTTGATAACACTCCTGCTTACTGCGTAATGCAGTCTTACAGGAGCGACCAAACCAAGGCTGAGATCTGCCTCCGATGGGTACCACAGATGATGGAACAAATGGTTCCATTCCCTGTAGCACCACATCAGTGACAGAGTCAGCAACAGCGCTGGGATCATCCGGCGAGAAGCAAACCCGCCCCCATGGGTACGAAGCAAAGAAAGACCGCATTCCGTCCCAATCCGCCGACCTGTAATGCCAAACACGGCGGCAACCTGCAGAACGCAAAAAAAATTAAAAATTGTAAACAATTCTATTTAAATTTAATAAACTAATAAAGCAGAGAGTACTTTACGTACAGGCTGACGGGGATAGAGCTCCCCGAGAATAAAAGGCGGGCATTTTGCACTCCAAATGGGATCCCCTACAATATAGAAGCTTTTTATTTAATACACGAAATTGCACCAGCTATGCGTATCAAAATCAGATTCAAATCATTATTTAAACAATAATACAGGAGCAGCAATTCGCCAGCGGTCCTGTTAATGCCTGAACTCCTTTATTTGTTCATTCAATTTTTTGTGCAACCCATTAGTTTCTAAGTAGTTTGATTGACACCAAATTTCTCCGCTAAGTCCAAGTTACTAAGTAATATTCAAAGCATAAATCTACAGGCGACATCAGAATTCCACATCACAAAGACTTCATTAATTGCTAAAAGTTTGGGCTCGACAAGATCTCCATTACCTAATACTGTTGTATTCCAAAAACTTTTAGTACTTAGGAAGGAATTTCTTTATCACCTAATAAAATATATACATTTAAAAAATAAATATAGACGTAATTAATAGTTTCGGATGTGAATAAAAAGATCATTGTAATAAAACCACAAAAATCCTTTATTGAAGCAAGTACACTGAAATTAGACACATACTCGTATATTTTAGCACCATGGGTCGTTGCTTACGGTATGTACCACCGGGCTGGAGTATACTTGAGGGACGGCTGCGGTGTATGTTGTTGGGTACGAGACGTAATTCACAGGCTGTGTGCGGTATGCGTTGTATACTACAGGAGATGATACTGCACGGTACACGGGCGAAGAGACCTGGAAAAAAGAAAACAATATGATAACATTGTAAGAACTTGTCGCGTCATATTTGTTCAGACAAATGCAACAAATGAAATTTGATGTAATTGTTTATTTCATCTCACTCGAAATTGGCACAAAATATTATTATTTATAATTTATCCTTATTCCACTTGTATGTTAGGGTTACATCGTTTAATCCCTCAATATCCGCATCCGCAACATGGACGTAATGTGTTTGTTAAAAACACATTACATCCATGTTGTCCAAAAACTGTTATTGTGCGTCGTAATCAATAGTAATACGTATGAGTAACCTTTTTAATTAAATCCCTTTTTATATAATAAGTGTGACAAACGAGCAAACAGACCACCAGATGTAAGTGGATGCTGCAGCCCATAGACATCTATATGTATCATGGATTAAACACCAAAATACAGATGCATCACCCCTGAGGATTAAGGTGATTGCTTCGTGATGGCATTGTTCTAGTGAAAAGGGCCTAATACTGCCGTAAACCACTGCTAACACAAGCGTTTTAAGCTCAGCTGGAGTAGTTTACGAGAATGCTAATAATGTTTTAAGACCGGCTACGCACCAGCAATGCCCCCGTGTTGCAGTTGTTTATGGGCGGCGGTCGACACTTACCATCAAGTGAGTAGCTTGATCGTTTGCCACTCTTCTATAAAAAATTGTTGCTAGCATAGCTAGTACTTCAAGAAAAAAACTTAATGTACCACATATTGTTCATTTGTTGTGTAGACAGCGGGAGATACAAGGCCGAAGCTCCTCTTGTCGCGTCCTACCACAGCGGCGCTGGCGACAGCGAGCACTGCGAAAATAGCCTGGAAAAAGAAATCCAATCAATCAATAAATATTAATGACATTCACACGTTGTAATAATGTCACCCAGACCGAATTTCGGTCACGGCAGCCAGGCTCAACGGAGACCAGCTATCCGCGCAGCACTGGGTTATAGTGCCCGAGTGAGTACGTAAGCACGGGAGCACCGTCTGTTCCCTAATTCTGATAATATAATGGAACGGTTACCCGACATGACCGGAGAGAGATTAAGCGGCTGTTAATGAGAATTTCTTGACAGGAAAACTAAATAACTGATTTTGACCTGACCCGGGATTTGATCAATAAGAACACGAGAATTATCAATTTCGAACTATTTGTATAGTTTGAGAATTTAAGTACAGGCTATAGAAAGTTTATTTTTTAAATTTTTTTTTATATTTCTCCACGGATTCCTTAAACAAGGAATTACCTCTACACTACTTGAGACAATAGTCCCTGGATGACCATTCATTGCCGAGAAAAAAAAAATTCTAAGGGATTACACATGTCTAGATAAATTTGAAAAGTAAACATTGACTGAAAACAAAATTCCATACAAATCATTAAGGATGTTTCCGAGAAACCAATTTCAGAAATAAATTCAAACAAAAATTGCATATTATGTAGTGTAGCCCACTCCCCTCCTCCCCTCAACCCTCAAAAAATTGAGTGATGATCTGGAACATTATGGATGCAGGTGGCTCAGGGCCGTGCTATGTGGCATTCCTTGGGGGTGGCCTATGTTCAGTGTACTTGTAAAGTGCTGTAATGATGATGAGGAAATTCTACAAACTGATGTTGGGCAGCAACAATTCCAGTGCTATGTTCTTGGTCCAATTACCCAGCGTTGTAGTAAAGAAAGAAATATAGTGCAGTTCTCCAGTCCACAGTGGATATAAAGTTTTTTTAATAGAATATGGGTGACAAAAGAGCACACCGTGCACCAAGCGAATAAGTGAATGCTGTAGCCCGTAGACCACCACACGAACACAGCAGTATTAAGCTGCTATTTTACTCTGGTATTCTGCGAGAGTGTGGGCCTTCCCCGTTTGAGCCGACCTATTCGTGTTGCAACCATAACATAGCTGCAGCGTGGCTCCACCACGTATATAAGTCATACACTTGTATAAGTTGACTAAATCGACTACATTATCGCCTAATAAATTAAAATATCTACTCACCAGAAACTTCATTTTGTTACAAATGTGGGAGGCTGTCACTGACTGAGTATCAGAACAAATTTGATACAAATAAACCATTTTATTGCCTTATATAAGAAAATGAAATAGAAATAATAATAATGTATAAAGATTTATATCTATGAGTAAGCACATGCAAAACTGGAGCCAATATATTTACGTTTACGTTTAGGGTTCCGCAAACCATCTATTAATAATAAAGAGTTTTAATCAATTGTATACAATTCATTCTTTCAAACATGTTATTACACTTAAATACTCAAATTGTAATACTATACTGTATTACATATAATAATAACACATATCTTAGAACACTCTATTCCATTTGATGAAAAAAAACAGCGGCTGCTCTGAACTTCTCTAACGATCTAGGTACATCTCTAAGTATTTTAATTTTATTTAAATAATGTTATTTTCGTAACAAAAACCTCTCCCATAGATTGTTTCATTGGAAGATATTTACCAAATTTGCCACGCTTGGCAAACGGGTTGGCCTAACCACAGTTTTTCTTTTTTTTTAATTTTAGAAAACCAGTGCTTCCAAGGCCCTTTGTTTATTTATTGAATATTTTCGTTACTGTACCATCGATTTAAAATAAGAAACCACTTCGATTCATTTTTATTACTATTTGTACTATGTTTTATAAAAAAAATTTCTTTGCAGTCAAAACAAAAAAAATCAAAACAAGGAAAAGAGAAAACCAAAAATCAGGTCCTATTAGGCGTCTTCAAAAAAAAACAAAAGGCTCTCAATTCAATTGTACTCGTATGTCCGTTATTCGTATATATGTTACGCGATATCTCCGTCCATTGTGAGCCGATTATAATGACACTTATTTTATAAAATAAAAGTGCTAAACCAGTGCATAGTCCACCTGATGGTAAGTGGAAGCTGTGGCCCATACATATCTACGTCTGTCCTCAATTAAGGATCAAAATGCAGATGCGTTGTCACCCCTGAGGTCTAAGATGGAATGCCTCGTTTCCAGTAAAAAGGGTCACCGGTTTTCTACACTCACCATACGAAACACACAGCATTAAGTTTCTATTTTACGCTGGTATTCTGTGAAAGCGTGGTTCTTGCCCGGTCGAGCCGATAAACGCACGAATACATGACGCGTATAAAATTCTACGGAACCTGTTACAATTTGTCGTATACTTTTAGTCGCATCCTTGAGAGGTTGAATAGTCCACATGTACGACGACCGGTTGAATAAACCAGAACTTGAATTAATATTACTAATTTTATGCTTAATCATAATGATGTGTATCAAAATTATATTCTAATTTTATGAGAAAGCTCTTAATTTTTTAAGTATGCTTAAAGGTTAAAACTGTAATTAAAAAAAAATTATTACGTTAAAAATTTTACAAAAAAAAACATGTGTGCAGTTCACACGCGGTAGAAGTGAAACTTTCAAATGCATTGAAATATAAAATAAAAAAAATTTCACGGCAAATGATTTATTCAATATAATCATTTTAACCACAAGTGAGGCATAAAATATAAGATAAAAGTTTCATTTTATAGCAAATAAATGTTACAATCCTTAGTTTTAGACTTAATTTTAGTGTAATAAATCAACAGAATATTCTCTTTCTAGGAAAATTACTAGGGAAAGTCACCATAACGAACAAAAATTGACTCTCAAAGTGGTACATAAGATGGACGCTAGATGGCATAAACACGAATAATCTAATTTTGATCGGTAAGCTATGGAATCATTTATTGTTATGAATAATTGTATATGATATTTTATTCAATATGGTTAATTGTTTTTTAATAAACTGGTTAATTATTTTAACTGTTTATTTTCACATTTAAAATGTATATTAACCATATTTAAAGTATTGCACAAAGACGAGACCGAAATAATAGTAAACACTATTATTTAAAAAAACACTACCAGCACTGTAAACATTAATAAAATTCGCTTTAACCACTATTTGTAAGCTTAAAAGTAATCCAATGGCGGATTTGAACCCACTACCTTTTGATTTCGCGCTCTACACTCTGCCAGTAGGCTGCTGTCGCTGATTGTACTCTATCTCATTCTCACGCAGGCTAAATCCTATTGATATAGTATACGTTTGTCTCTTTTAGTGTCGCTTTTTCGTTTCATCCAATTTCAAATCACAACGATGCTAAAGAAGTTTTCACTTAAAAAAAAAGTGTCACTTTCACAACTAAGACGAATGTAACGACACCCCATATGTTAAAATCAATCAAGCCATATAGGATACGTGCCAAAGAAATAGACATACATACGGGCCAAAAAAAATAGATTTTTTGGCCTGTACCGGGATTTGACCTCAGGACCTCATGGTCAGCAGTCGCGTTTACAACCACGAGACCAAGTCGAAGTAAAAGGTAGATAAAGAAGGTTGTCTAAAACTATGTCGAAAACTCACCCAACTCTTAACCCTAGAAGCCTTATCTACCTAGGCGTGTACGCCTACGAGGCGTACACGCATTCGGAAATTGTTTATCTTTTTCTAACGGGCGAAGTTAGTGGTTCGTCCGGCTTAGCCAACTCAGTGACCGCCGGGAGTTTGCCTATGGTACCTATGTCGCTAAGGTAAGTCCCGCCAATTTCGACATATTGACATGTAGTACGCCTTCGAAGCGTATGTTTGGGCTTTGTGTAACTTTTTAACTTTGATTGTGAGATTATGCGATTGCTGTTTTTTTGTATTTTTGTGGTTATATTGGCGTTGTTTCAGACAAAATATATCACGATCAAAGCGGCTAAACTTCAACAACCGTAAAAGTTGACTATAGTTGGCAGTATTTGATCAAACAAGCGGGAAATCCCAGAACAATGTAAGAACTCGAGATCTCGTCCTGTTGGTAGTTTTATGTTTTGCTTCGATGGCCCCTTGACGCTTGTATCTTATAAACCAAAGCCTGCAAAGATGATGTATCTCTTATCATCTTGTGATGAAAATCCGTTGATTAATGATTCAAGTAGCAAGCCAGACACGATTCATTACTACAACCAGTCCAAACGAGGAGTAGATTTCTTTGATCAAATGTGCTCTTCAATGTCGTGCAGTCGCAAAACCAATAGATGGCCAATGGCTGTATTCTACGGCATCTTGAACATGACGTTTGTCAACTCTGTTGTTATTTACGGCCACAATATGATCAAGAACAATAAAATACCCCTAAATAGGAGAGAATTCATGAAGCAGCTCAGCACAGATTTGGTCAAGCCTTGGATGGAGATGTGACTTGAAGCGCCGACTTTGAAAAGATGTGTTACGAGAAAACATTAGCCAAATTCTAGTAAAATCTACTGATTTAAGTAATGAAGTTGAGAAGGGAGAACCAGAGCCCAAAAAACGTAAATGCTGCGTTTTTTGCTCTTACAAAAAAAATGTCTAAATTAGTGTGTTTTAGGTGCAAAAAGTCAGTATGTTGCGAGCACAAAGTTGATGTGTGTGTAGATGCTCGAAGCTTTAAGATACTCTTTGAAAGTCTGATTTAATTTAATAATTGTGCTAAGAAAAAGTTATTAATAGTAAAAAACATAGAAGATAGTAAAAAAAATAATGTTACCGTTGATTAATGAAAAGTTACTTTTTTTGTTCGATTATAGGCAAATTGTTTTATTTTGTTGTAATGTCTGTGATTAGAGGCTTCACTCATGAATCTGTTTTATTACTAGAATAAATCCCTATCTTCCAGATTCTTAAAAAAATTCACAAATAATTAGTATATTTTAGCCCCCAAATGGTATATGCACGCCTATGAGGCGTATGTTAAGGCTTTATGTATCTCTAAGACAGATTAGACTTCTAGGGTTAATTTCATCAACATTTAAACAGGCACTCGCAAATTAACTTTACAAAGGAGAACCAATTGGAAACAAACTTTTGTCACTTCTTATACAGGGTTAGTTTTCAAAAAGTAGCCAAATTTTAAACTTAAGTTCAAATATTTAAATAATAATATATCGGTAAACAGTTTTTGAAAATACGAGTAAATAAAGCTTCTAATTTTATTTGAAATTATCCCAAATTGAATGTGATTTATGGAAAACAACGTTTTTGTCTACGGATCGACCCTTACAAATGTTATACGTGCGCAAGAAAATCAGATAAAATAATGCATTCGCATTTTGAATTTAAAAGATAAAAATATACCTATAACCAGAATAAGTATCTATATAAAAATATAGATACTTATTCTGAACCTTCTCTCCAAATTTGGCCGGTTATTGCAAAATAACCCTGTATAGACGATATATGATACTAGTAATAAGGGAAGATTCTAGAAGCTCTAGTATTATTCTCAAACGAGATTTTACGTTCGAGCGACCGGCCATAAAATTATTCTTATTTCTTAGTTTTAGTTTTTTTTATTGTTCTTATTACTGTGTATCTCGTGTTAGAATGTTACTCAACTTATATAAAATATTTAAAAATAGAATGAACACACAAAACTTAACCGACGTTAATTCTAAATGAGAAACCAAAGAGTTGCTGTTTGAGCCTATAATAAATAAAATTTAATAAAATAGTAATGTCTGTGGAATTACTTAGTAAACATGTGGCAATTGATGCATTCGTATCATAGCGCTATTGCACTAAGACATGGAGTTGAGTATGCTTGCTGCACTTAAAAGTACTACCAAACACACTCACCCTAATCCTTTTTGCATGTAGTAGAGCCATGCTGCAGCTATATTAATAGTATAGCTGCAGCGAATGGGTCGGCTCGACCGGGGAAGAACCACGCTCTCACAGAATACCAGCGTAAATAGCGGCTTAATACTGTTGTGTTTCGTATGGTGAGCGTAGAGAACCGGTGAACCATTTTACTGGAAAAGAGGCATTCTATCTTAGTCTTTACGGCTGACAATACATCTGCATTTTAATTCGCAAACGAAGATAGATGTAGATGTCTATGGGTCACAGCAACCACTTACCATCAGGTGGCTGTGTGCTCGTTTGTCACCCTTATTCTACAAAAAAAATATCCGAAAGATAGCCGACGTATCATAACGCTATGCGCTAAGACGCCGCCCACAAACGGTAGGGGTGTGTGATGTCCA